ACCGAGAAAATTCCCCACGCGGCGGCGGGCAGGGCTGCTCCGCAGGCTCTGGAATACTGACCACGACCCGGCCCGGCAGAGCCCCTGGCTGGGAGGCCCTGGCTCTGCTGGGAGGATGAGGATGAGCATGAGGAAGGCAGGAGTGGGGGCACCTCTGTCCCTCCTGGCCCCTGTCACCCAAGCTCTGCTGGGAGGATGAGGATGAGGATGAGGAAGGCAGGAGTGGGGGCACCTCTGTCCCTTTCAGCCCTGCGCCACCCCGGCTCTGCTGGGAGGATGAAGATGAGGATGAGGATGAGGACGGCAGGAGCGAGGGCACCTCTGTCCCTCCTGGCCCCTGTCTCCCAAGCTCTGCTGGGAGGATGAAGATGATGATGAGGATAAGGGCGGCAGGAGCGAGGGCACCTCGGTCCCTCCCGGCCCAGCACAGCAGGCGCCCTGTAGCTCGGGGGCAGCCCTGCAGGACTCCGCAGTGCCCAAAGCAGCACTTTCCTCCCCTAAACCCCTTCGTCACTGTCCCGCAGTGGGTTGGAAGGGGCCGAAGGGGCGGCGAGGGCCTGCGAGGGAAGCTGCCTCTGCACATCACTGTCAGAGTGTTTATTTATTTATCACGTAACGGTAGTTACAGCTGGAAAAAGCAGGAGGGGGATCGCTGCCAGACAATGTATCTAGGGAGCTGTTTTGTTACTGCCACCAGCTGTCCCCTTGGAATAGGGCACGTCTGAGCCGTGACTCACGCAGCCAGCATCTTATTTCACTCTTGGCTCTACCCGAAAATGTTCCTCCCGCCCGAGAATGCAAGCGAGCCTCCTCCTCCAGCCAGGACGGCTGCAGCCAGGCCCCTCTCCTGCCCCTCGCGCTCAGGACAGCGCAGGAAGGCAGCTCTGCAGCTGGGAGAGCAGCAGGAGCCCCGGCTGCAGCAACGTCCCCAGCTGCCTACGGGAGACACTCGTTTAAGACAGGAGAAGAGTCACCGCATTGTTTCAAGATGCCTCTAAAGTCAGTGTTAAAAAGTCAGTCAGATGCCTCTAAAGTCAGTCAGAAAATCCTGTTCCAGACTAGGATGCAGGATCAGTCTTAATATCCCAAACCACCAAATCAGTGGGAAGCGGGACAGGGCCGGAGGAAGCCGGGATGCAAATGCTGCCTGGCAAGGGCAGCCGTTTTAGCTGACCTAAGAGCCCCTGGGAGCCCCTGTGCGAGGCCAGTCACATCCCCACCTCCTCTCTGCATCCACCCTATCCTCTGAATGGGCTCATGGAAAAATCCTTCCATGGCGGCTCCGTGGCGGGGCCCGTGCATGCGCACCCTCGTGCACGCGCAGCCGCCTGGGGGAACCGGGGTCACCGAGCAACAACTGAACAAAATCGATCACAGCTCTCGGCCCGGAGGCTAACGCAGAATGTCAGATTGACAGCAGCTCTGTGGCTCCCTTTATATTTTTGGCGCAGGCAGCCGCCGCAGGGGGGTGAATCAGGACTCCTAGTGCACTGCCCTAGATGGAGCTGGGAAGCAGCTGGGTAACGGGCGGGCAGAGGCAGCGGCCAGAGCCGCATTCCCGAGATTAGATTAGAGCTCAGCACCGAACCCTGCAGAGGGGCCGGACAGCAAGAGCTAAAGGCAGCAGGAGAGATGGGGCACGGGCAGCCAAGAGCTGCCAAAAATAAAGAAAAGTGGCTCTGAGTGCCTGGAGAGGGGCTGGCTTGCTTTTTATAAGGTTTAGGGGGAAGACACGGACGAGCCAGCACTCATTAGGAGAGGATTCCCATCTCCCCAGCCACTGCCAGAAATGTCAAAGGTGAAAGGAATTGGACATGGGAGCGGGAATGTAAGCAGAGTTGCCACGCAAGAGGAAAAACACTACACCTGCCTCCAGGAAAAGTATTTTGAGCTTAAAAATAAATACAGTCCTGCACCGTGAAAAGGCAAGTTTTATGTTCCATGGATAGGGTGTCTTAGAACTTGTCAAAGCCTTCCCTGCACTGTTGCCACAATACTCTGCGTGCCAGCTGTGTCAATCATCACACAAACAACCTCTCATCACTAGCAAACAGTGTGGGAGGAAGAGGGTGGGCGCTGCGCTCTGTCCACAGAACAACTGCACTTCAGCTCCTAATGGAAAGCTGCAGAGGGTCGGGATTCCCGGGAAACGCGGAAAGGATGGGTAGCAAAAGGGCTAGAGAAGCAGCCAGAAAACAAACCTGCTGCCCACTGGCACAAGTTTGTTAGTGTAGACGAGCTGGCTACAACGCTATCATAAAGAATGAGTTTTGCCTGAAAGCTGGGTTTATCCTCCGGTTTCTATGCAGAATACAATCCACGCCCCTCCAATCAACAAGCAGGTCTTCCAATGTTTTGCCTGAAAGCTGGGTTTATCCTCTGGTTTCTATGAAGAATACAATCTACTCCCCTTCAACCAACAGGTAAGTCTTCCAACACACGCAGGCTGCACACTTGACCAAACACAGCCTGGTGTTTCACACTTATCCAAACCTGGACAATGATGGGTTCAGGTCCAGGATATGGGAGCTTTGGTCTCCAGGACGCCGAGGCAGAGGTTCTGCACAGCTACACACTCCCCATCTGTTTCACCCTAATGACAGAACAGGATTAGTCTCTCACAAAAATGTGACTCGGGTTTTCATTCAGCTTGGCTCACATGGGGTTTATATGAATTTTCTCTTTAAGTGACTGAAATTTGGAGTGAGAGGTTGGGAAGATTTCACATAATCCTGGATACAACCCCCCAAACCCAAAACACATAAACCCATTTTTCAGCACTAACGTGAAACCTAAACTAATCCCAAGTATCCTTGCAAGTTGCCATGGCCCCTTCGAGAGATCTGCCTGGCTCAGTGTGCAGCAAAGAGACCATCCCGAAGCCGTGTCCATGGAATCCCTCGGGCTCCGCGGGATCCCCAGCCGACCGGAGCATCCCCGGCTGCGCTGCCGCCTTGTCCAGCACCCACATCCCTGGCAACAGCAACGGTGAAAGAAGCAAAGAAATTCTGCAGCGGTCCTTAACCGAGCACCGTCCGAACGCCCTCGTCTCTGCTGGGAAGGGCCCTGTGCCAGGAATACGGTCCCTCTGTGAATTACAAACCTGGCTGAAAATAGTTGGGAAAAGGTTCTGGCTTCATTTGCATCAGTAGGATGGGGACACTGCCTTCAGCAAGGCCAGGATGTCACCCCGCTGAGCCCTGCTTCCAGTGAGCCCCATGGGGAGGAGCGGGATGGAAGGAAAGGGAGGATTCCCGCTCCTGGAACCCTTTGATCCAGGGTTCCAGGGATGCAGCCTGGCCCAGTCCACCCACAACGGGGGGTTTTCAGCCACACAAGCGAGGAACATCCCTTCCTGGCCCAAACAGTGCTCCTTCAAGGTCAGCAATGTACCAAACTGGCAAGGAGGGCAGGGGGAGAAGCTGCCAGCTGTGCATCTTGCCAGCTATCTGTCAGACAAATGGATAAATGGATACTCAGGCTTCCAGGATTTTCCATCTATTGCTTAACCCGCCCACAGTGAAATCGTCACTTAATTTTAAATTAAAAGGGGAGCAAGAAGGATGGTTAAAAAGACCTAGCAGGAGCAAGGCGAGGAGGCGACACCGGAGAGCGCGGGGTCATCCTACCCAGCGAGTCTCTCCCCGCCGCTTTGTTCCATATTTAGCTCCCAACAACTGCGTCCAGCGCAGGAACTCCCAGCTCGGTTTTTCCCTCCCGCCACTGCTGCCTCTGCTCCCGGAGAGCCCTCAGAAATCGCTCTTTCTCTTCCCCAGTGCCAAGAACCGAGCATTCCTGTACTTAGGAAGATGGCAGAAAAGCAGGAGCCCAGCAATGCCCAGAATGGAGAACCCGACAACGCAGAGGAGGGCGAGGAGAAGAAGAAGAAGGTGAAGCGGGAAGATCTGCCACCATTTGAAATTGTGACAGGGTAAGAGCTTTAGCTATAAAGAGGGATATAAAGACTGAGGCAGAGACCTCCAAAGGTCCCTGCCTCAGCTCTGAGGCCGGGTAGTCAAAGGTGAAAACATTACACAGGGCAATTCTGTGTATTTGTACATAGTGTTGAGCAGGGGCGTTCATTGCGGTGCGCTCGCGCTAGAGGTTCTGCCGTGTCCGTAGAGGAGGGCTCCGGGCAGCCGAGCGGGCAGCTCTGCCCCGGGGCAGCCCGGCCGGCGGCAGCGGTGTCGCCTGAGCAGCACTCGGCATTGATTCCTTGCAGTAATCAATGGCTCTCCTCTGAAAGCCTCTCTGTCTGCGAATTAGAAAAAATCCCCTGCTGTGGCTGTTTTGGTTTAGGGACCCAAGCGGTGGATTTTTCAAGGGAGATGAAACTCCACCTTTTCAAAGGCTCCACAACCACAGCTGGATCCTGACTTTCAAAGGAGCCTAATGCACATAAAGGCTCCAAAACAAGAGACAATTTTCCAGACTGCAAAGCAGCTCCCTCTGCTCTGCCGAGCCCGGCCTTTGAAAGAGGCAGAGAAGACCCAGATCTGAACTGTCAGAAATCTGGCCCCATTTGTGAACTCTTAATCCTCCTGAAATATCCTGCCTAAAAGGTTCTTTATGAAATTCCATAATATTGATAACAGGATTATTTTTAATAATGAATAATCAACAGACTAGTGAATGTGCACTAACATTGCATGATGGAAAGCTGCAAAAAAAAAAAAAAAAAGTAATCTAGTATCTCTAAGCATGTCACAATTCTCCTTGTAGTAGCACCAAGATGCCCTGTGTTAATTCTGGTCCCTGCTCTCCCTCAGCAGTCACCAAGGGAATGTGCCCTAGAACAGAAACACGTTTGTCTTCTCCTGCCTTTGATGTAAACCCCAGGGCAGCTCTTAAACCCCCCTGGAAGCTTCTCGCCTGTGACACTGTCACCAGGAAGGCAGATCCCACAACCAACTTAGCAGGCAAATCTGAGCCGGACACACAGGGCAGGACGGCCCTCCATCCCCTCTCGCACGAGTGGATTACTTCCTAGGGCAGGGATAACAAGAGCTTTCTTCTTAATGTGTGTCTGCCCTGAAAGCTCTTGGGCTGAGGCTGCTGGCAGCTTTTGCTCGCTATCTGTCACAGACAGTCATGGCAATATTACATGCCTGCTGGAGCAGTGACTTTAAGAAAAGCACTTCCTCTGCTAGGAGCTGAGCTAAGATCCCCCAAAGCATTTATATCAGCCATTGGACCAAAAACACACATGGTGACAGCTCCTAGGCACCTTAGACAGGTACCGAATGAACCTCAGTGAGAAAATAGTATTTTTCCATTTTGGAGAATTCAGCTTACTAAGAGAACTGCAAAGGAAGTGGGGAGGATCTTCAAACTTCCTTACTAACCCCAGAGATCTGCAGAGCCTTCGGTGTGCTAACTGTGGATGAGAAGAAATTTCTTAGTATCTTCTTTCATTTGAAATATTTGTTGGAATGATGAGATCTTGTAGAACTTGCCAGGACTTCCCGCTCTGGAAAGGCAATAGGGAGAACGTGAAGGGTGCTGCAGCAGGGCACACAGGAGGATGAGGTTCCGAGCGGGAAGGCGTTGGATATTCTGCGGAGGCACCGCAGAGCTGCCAGCATGGGGATATTTATATTGCACTCATCACATCTATTGGGAAACTGCTTGCAAATACCTGCAGCTCCTGGAGGAATCATGACTAACTCTCCCCTAATGACTAGTTTGTTACTGAAATCCCAGCTACTGAAGGTGAGAAATGAGCAAGTCGAGCAGAAATACCAAAGGGCCATTCAAGAGGTACAGAAAAATCCTGCAATTTTTACTTCATTATAATAAGTACCTATGACTACAGGCTCGACCTAGTGTAATCACTGTTTGGATTTTCTAATTATTTACAGATTTCAGGCAATTAAGCCAGTTATGTGAATTATGAGAAAACACATTAATTCCAACTGTCCAAGCACTTAAATTCAATTACACTGTGTACTACTCAAGCATTGCAGTTCCAGCCCTTGGATTAGGAGCATTTTATGACACTCAGCCAAGTTTTCAACCTGTTGCTTATGGCTCTAAGGAGTGTGGCTTATAAAAAAGAACACTGGGAACTAATCACCCCGTTTAAGAATATTACCCTCCCTCCCCATTTTTTTTCATTATTTGATTCAACTCAGCGCTGGCTAAATAAAATCCCTGGCTGTGCAAATCTCATGCCATTTAAGTGAACACAATTATTTACACCTCCCCATTTATTCACACATGTCGGGGGGTGTAAATGAGTCTCCCTCTAGAAGGGGTAAACCCTTGGCTCCTGTTAACATCAGGATCATTCCATGCAGATGGACAACACGACTGTGGTACTTCACTTGTACTGAATCCCCAGGACGTGGGCTGCTGCTGGGAGGCCTGGCAGTGCCACACACCCCATCCTGGCGTGGGCAGGCCTGGCACGCGCTGTTTGCTCCTTCCCAGACTCTCCTTGCTCGATCACTTGCCAGGAAGGAGTTTTCCAGCTTTGCAGGGAACAGAGGCAACACGTCCCAAGCCTCGGTGGAGAAGGGAGGCAGCCGGTGGCAGGGCAGGGCCTTGGCACACTCCTGTCGGGACATGGTCACAGTTTGTCCTTGTGCTGGAACGTCCTCCCTGCTCCCCCTGCACAGGTTCAAGGGTTCCCTCGGGCTGGTCCCGCTGCTCATTGCTTGCCTCACACATCCATGACCAGCTGTTCCCAAGCTCTTAGCCACGTACTCCAGGCTGGAAAAGAGCCCTTAGCTTTGCTGCTCTTCTTTACTGGAAACTTATTAATGGAACTGATGCATCTTCCATGTCGCTAAGACACATTGAGGCGGATGTCCCAAATACTCTTAGACAGATGCCTGGATGATAAGCAGTAAGATCTGGCCACGAGGCCTGACTAAACACACCTCTGAGACAGCACATCCCGGGGCACATCACTCATGTTCAAACACACACAACTCCCTCACGAATGTCACTGCTTTGCAGTCGGAGAGTTCAGCCAGGAATGTGCCTCCCTACGGCTGTGATGTGCATGTGAGCACGGAACGTTACTGCAAATACTTGCAGGGAAAAGAGACACTATGTTGAATGACAGGGTTGCCACGCTCCTCAAGGAATCCGTGGAAATTTCACAGTCCATCTTAAAGAAAAAGGGATAAGCTCTTAACAGGTAACTTGAGTCAAGATGCTAAGAAAGGATGTTAAAAGCAGCCTCGCTGGGTAGTTTAGAATTCGGGCACGCCAGGGCATACTCCCACTATCTGGGCTGATGGTCTTTGTCAGCACGGAGCAGAGCGTGGCCGAGCAGCCCCAGCAGCACATGCACCAGTTGGCTGCTCGGAGCGCGGCTACTCCAAGAGAAGTTGGAATCACTCTGTTGGGAAGTCCAAGCCAGAAGTGGGAACTGTAACTCCAGGCCTTTTACTGTGAACCTTTGCGACATGCACAAGTGGACCCCTAGATACTACTGTAGTATCATAAAAATTAAATAGGGAGGATGTTCTTTTATGGCTTAGCTTATCAAAAGCTGGAAACGCCACAGAACTTTGGCAACAAGCAAATTTCTGGCTGCTGAAAAAGGCAGGAGTGGTGCACATGCACATAGCCATGAGATATTCCTGACACTTTGCAAGTGGAATTAAACATTTATGGAAAATTGTATTTAAACTTTTTAAAATAACACAACAGAAGCAGCTTGAAGATAGCTGCAATTTACTCCAAATGAGGTATTTAGAAAGCACATGTTGTCAATCCCTTTCTGTGTAAAAAAGCCATTCGCTTGCAGTATGTAATGTTACACTTGCAACCAGAAATTAGTGAAGAACTTCCAAGTGACTATGCCCTGCGCCAGCCCTTCTGTTGAGGGCCCCAGACTGACTTGCAGATATCAGACTATTCAGGACATTTTATGCAGTCCTAGCAAGGCCTTATTTATTGCACTCTAGAGGCAGACATCTATCAGTTTTAAAAGGCATGGGATCCACCCTCATGTGCAGCCCTAACCCTAACCCTACGATTTCCGAAGCCTGGGACTCGCTCCCAGCCTTTGCCCCGTGGCCCCTGAGATGCCCAACATTAGCATGCGACTGCAGATGAGACAGCATGAGTAACACACTTAGTGTTTTACAAACATTCATTATTGCCTCGCTGGGAATATCAAGGTTATAGGTCCCCTTAAAGCTCAGATGAGAAAAATACAGCATGCCAGAAGATTACTAGCATAAAATGGATGAAATGTTGTGTTACTGCTTTTCATTGCTTCCCTTTGGTTTGGCTGCTCCGTGCAATCTTCATCCCCATCCTTTGCAGCATCTACCACGTCTCCAGGCACTTCAGCAGCAGTTTGTTTCTCGCGCTTCCCCCCGGCATCCCTCAAGCACGAGCTCCTGCCCCGATGACAGCCCATAGTTAGACACTGTGGGGACACGAGCAGCAAGGCCTGGCACTGTGCTGGAGAGGAGCAGGTGCCACGCGACGGGGCTGCTCAGCTCGGCACTCTGCAGGAAGGGCCACGCACAGTGTCTTAAGGAACTAATTTTAACTTCCCTAGAAACAGCACATACCTTGTTCGGGTGAAAGAGGACTGTAAACAACAGTGTTTAAACGTTAATTTAGAAATGCTGAAGTGACAAAGTTGGTCAGTAGTGTCCATGCGACAACGATCAAAATCCAGTCAGAAATACACTTGTTCACAGCAAAGCTAGATCTGATCTCAGATACTTAGATTAAACCAAAGCCGCGACACAGTTCTACTGCATATTAGTATTCCACTGCTACCAGAACAATAAAAGCAGAACACACACGTATTGCAAATAGTCGGTCTCACTTGCCTCTACCCAGAGGAAATTGAGATTGCAAAAGCACTGAGGGTAACATAAATTGGCAATGCCAGAGTAACCATCCTCACAATTTCCAACAACAGATCCTGCAAATTAACAGTGCAACATAGTGGCAGAACGGTGTTAACAGCCTAGAAAATAGCAGAGGGAAGTTCAGTCTTCACGTGCATTAAGCCTGGAAAAAAAGCCAATTGCTGACCCACCTTGCAAAGAGTAAATAGCAGAGCCTCAAGAAACACTATTAAGAAGCAAGTTCCTCTTCAAATACCTGAATACAGACACTAGAAAATCTCAGTCGAAGTCTGTCAAAACTAAGTGGAAAAGACTAGGATGTCAGAACAGGGCTGGCAGCCTCACCCTGCGGCAGCAGCAGCGGAGCGTTTTGTAACTGCTCAGGTAGCTTTTATCCTTCCATAGACTGTGTTTCCATTCAGTGCACGGAGGAATGTGGCCACGATGGACTGAGCAACCCGTCCAACACTGCCCGGGAACTAACACTTCCTTCTCTCCTCTCCCCTCTCCCCAGGGAGCGCCTCCCAGCCATATTTTTCAAGTTTCAGTTCAGGAATGTGGAGTACAGCTCAGGCAGGAACAAAACCTTCCTGTGCTACGTCCTGGAGACCCAAGGCAAGGAGTCGGTAACTTCCCGGGGCTATCTGGAAGACGAGCACGCGGCAGCGCACGCGGAAATCGCCTTCTTCAACACTATCCTGCCCAAGTGCGAGTCCGGCAGCCGCTACAACATCACCTGGTACGTGTCGTCCAGCCCCTGCGTGGCCTGCGCCGACCGCATCACGGAGACCCTGCGCAGGAACAAGAACGTGCGCCTCACCATCATGGTGGGGCGCCTCTTCATGTGGGAAGAGCCCGAAATGCAGGCTGCCCTCAAGAAGATGAAGGCAGCCGGCTGCAAGCTGCGCATTATGAAGCCTCAAGACTTTGAGTATGTCTGGCAGAACTTTGTGGAGCAGGAGGAAGGGCAGGAAGCGAAGGCTTTCGTGCCATGGGAGGACATTCAAGAGAACTTCCAGTACTACGAGGAGAAGCTGGCTGAGATTCTGCACTGAAGCTCACGTGAGTGAGGATTTCCCTTTGCTCCCCAGCTCCTTCCCTCAGTATTCCCTGCCTGCTTTATCCTCAGGCTGCTAAACATGCAATGGGCAGTAATTTTCAGCCCTGCTACTCCTGCATGTCACCTGGCTGGAATTGCCAGCACCAGAAAACCAAGAACTCTCCTTAGCAGGGCCTTAGAAGGGCAGGAATACTAGGATGGGCTCTTCCAACGCAGGCACTCGAGGGATCAGTTCTTCTTCCCCAGACCAAACAGCTCCAAGAAGGAGAAGTTAAAACACACATTAATAGGGCTACTATCTGCAACAAGAAAGCCTCACGGTTCCCCGCACACACATGTGGAAGCAGTGAAGAAGTGCAGACAGGGAAAAGTCTCCCCCTCCCCTGCTACCAAAATCTATCGCTCTCTAAAAACACTGAAGGACATCAGTCAGCGTTACAGATCCTGGGTGTTTTTAAAGATGCACTGAGTCACTCCCCTATTTTAAGTGATACAATATGGAAGCGCTTGAAGCTTCTAATGTGCTTCTCTTTTTCTCTTCCCCTCCCCCAGAACCTACTAAGGAAATAACTGTGGAGAGAGAGGTGACATGTGACAGATTCAGACGTCCAGGACACTCCTTCAGCTTTCCAAAGCTTTGGCTCCAGCAGGATGCAGTATCAGCTCCTGGAAAACTGGGCCCTGATGGACTACAACTCCATCTACCACACAGCTCTTTGGTGTTTAGGATTTGGGTTTTTTGTTTTTCCTCCAAACAAACCTGCACTGCCTCTACTGATTGGAAAACAGAAAGCAATACACTGTGTGGTTGAACCCTTGAATTAAATGGATTGCAGTGGATCTACAGGAAAGTGTGGGTCTCAATTCTGGGACAATGGTCGGAAAAAGATCTTAGAGCAAAGCTGCCAATTAAAACGCATTTAGAAAGTATGTATTTCAAAAATGTTAGAGAGAAAGGCATTTAAAAGGGGGGAATAAGAGGATTTATTCTGTCATCGCCAGAAAACAGAAACGGGACTTAAGTAAGGGTACTTGATTTATTCTAGTGCAGGGGATTATGATGGAACATCATATGGGTAACTCAAGTACTTGATTTAAAATACATCAAACAGCATCTCCCTTTGCTCAGATGTCTGCAATATAAAACTGGGGAAGCAAAATGAGTGAAATAAAATTGGTAGCCACTGCAAAAATGCGCAGCAGTGTTTATTCTGTTTGCTCTATTTGAAGGAGGTCCTAAATTTAATCTGACAAGCGAGACATCCTGGGACAGCAACAGATGAAATACTTCATAGTTGAAGCGCAGTGTGATGAGAAGGGAGAATTACTACACACCAAAAAAACCAAATCCAGAGCATGCCCAAGCGTGGGAGATGCACAGGGAAAGACGAGGTGGGCACGTGAGCTCGCGCAGGCCCCGCAGGAGCTCAGGAGTGGAGGCTCCGGGTGCGGGAAGGGCTCATGGGGACCACGGACCCCGCACAGGCGCACGCAGAACCGCGGAGCGCGCCCGTCCCCTCGGCCACCTGCGCTGCCTCCTGCCAAAACCTTCCCGTGGGGGGACAAACAAAACAGGAGCTGCAGTGGGAACACCCGTAGAGCCCGTGCAGGCACAAAATGCCACCAGAAAAATAAGTACAAGGAATAAATCAATAAGCCATCTTGATGCCCATCCTTGATTAACTCAATACTCAGGCTTCTATTTGTCTCACTCAGTTTATTTATTTTTACAACTGTGTGTTTGCTGCAGTAATCGTCTACCAAAAACAAGTTTACAAAGAAATTAAGGATGGTCAACGACCACGGAGAGAAATAGCACAAGGCTGCTGAACACACCAATTGGAATTTGCAAAGAAAACAAACCATGCACATTCACCCGCAATGCTCAGGCAGAAGAAAAGGAACAAAAGGCTCCATACATCATTCATCTAACGTTATTGAAAAATGATTATAGAAACGCTTTTATGCGAACAAGTTCTCTAACCGTTATGCATCGTCTTTACGGTTTTCACCACACCCAGAAGTGTCCGGCACCTTTGTGGCTGTGCAGCCAAAAGGAAGTTGGGAGGTTGTTATTGTGGGGGTGGCAAATCGAGCAGGAAGGACAGGAAGGTTACACGACAGCCTGCTGGCACTGGAACCAAACATTTACCATTGCTCGGATTAATTTAATGGGCTACTTACTGATCTGCTTTTGCCATTTGGTAAGATCAGGCACCAAGCCCCACATAACAGCTAAATACAAATGCAGTAAGAAATTAAGTATGAAAATCAACCCATGAATTTTACAGCACAGTGGGACTTCATATGTGAGGACTCTCAGCAAATCGGGCTCTGTAGACTATGCCAATTAAATGCACCTCTAGGCACTTTTCCTGGCTCTACAGCTTTCTCCCTCAAAACCAAGCTTCCCACTACGATACTGCTTGAGCAAATCCAAACACTGGGATGTTTTTTCCACAAGGACAGTGCTCTGATCAGACAGCAGAGTACTGAAAAGCTATTTACTTAACATTGATAGCATGGTTCTTAGCAAGTACAATCTCATAAAAAGTAGTATCTATGTCCAGAAGATAAAAATAATAATTTTTAATCCTTTAAAGAACAAATATATAACCTGCATTCTGTATACAAAGGCTGCAAATCCTTAAGCTAAAGTCACGGGGGCTCCATGGTTCGTCACTACGAACCGGGACAGCAAACCAGCAGGTACCAGGGTGCTCCAGAGCTCCGAGCTCGCCTTGCTCGGGGCTCCAAGCGGAGGTTCCGCGGCTCGTGGAGGACCAGTGACATCTGGTGGCTTGCGAGGACCTGGCACAAACTCGCCAAGGGCTCCCCCAAGCCCCTGCCCCCATCAGAGGATCCCTAAATGCTACATCCCAAACTAGCTGCTCTGAGGTTTGTCTTTTTAAAGCTACTGCCACTGACAATACAAGAGTGAGCTACGCTCAGAAGGAAAATGTGCTCAGCATGCAGTTCCCCCTGATGAGCCGAGAAGTGGACGCTCCTGACTGAGGGCAGGGGAAATAAGGCTGTTTGACAGTGTTTTGATCACAGAGTGTAAACTGTGATCTTAATATCTGTGTCTTCAAACACTTCCCCAAGTATTTCTGAAACTTTATTCCAGTCCAGGCCGTCAAGTCCACATCCAATCCTGGAAAATAAGACACCAACACAACTACAGTGAGCTCTTTTGGAGCATGCTGGGAACAACTAGCCCTTCAAACAGCTACTCGGCTCACCAGAAAGCAGCATAATACAGTTAAAAAATTGAAATAATCAAGCCTGAATGTTTTACTATCATTTAACTTCACTGGTTTGGAGCATGCTGGGAACAACTAGCCCTTCAAACACCTACTCGGCTCACCAGAAAGCAACATAATACAGTTAAAAAGTGGAAATAATCAAGCCTGAATGTTTTGCTATCATTTAACTTCACTGAAAAATACAAACTCCATTTGCACAACTGAAGAGTTCTATCGAAGCGAATACTTGAGCTCTTATTCGATAGCAGGGAATCATCTCTTAAACATTCTTCTGCCCCAGAAACCCTGAGGTGTTTACATGCCAGGACCCCATTTTCTTACCTAGGCATGGAAATGTCAGTAACTCCGTTGCTGAGACAGTGGCTTTTCATGGCTTCTAAACTCTTTCGCATAGTCTCATATGTCGGTTTGTGGGAAACTTTCTCCTTTGTAATCTAGGTACAAACAAAGAAGGTCAATCGTGCCGCACGCACCACCACTGCAAACTCTTTTCTCTTTGAAAAGTGCCTTCCACTGAACTCCAAAACCGTAAACCCTGACTTGCTGCTTTGAGCAGTTACTTAGAATAAGAATTAAGAACTATAAATTATAATGGAGCAATATAGCAGCTAAAAGTCTAAATGCACATACCCAAGTTAGCATGGCTTCTCATCTAGGGAGACTAAATGCACCTCAAAATTTTTATTTAGAACATCAAAAAAAAAGAAAAAAAAAAAACACAAAAAGGCCCCCAAAACACCAACTACTATAGCCCTTAGCACCACACCTGATAATCTGATATAGCTAAGTTTCATGAAAGCACCCGAGATGCATGTAAATCTCACCAGGTAGTATATGTATCGGTCATCTCTCTGGAGAACTGCCACCTCCCCAGTTTTCTTATCTAAAAAAAAGACCAAGGAGAACTTTTATAAGCAATTAGAATCTAATACCTATTTCCCCCCAGGCCCCAAGTAGCTCAGAATACTTTTATTGCTGGAAATCAAGGTTTGCCCATCAGCTCCTGCATGTCCATCAGGTGCATCACTCACGTTGCTCTAAGAGCTCTTGTACGCCTCCAAACTTCTTCTTAAAAATCACTGCTATGCCTGCACCCATGCGACAATCCTCGCTGATGCAATGAGCCAGTGCATCCGTCTGGGGGCACGAGAAAAGGTCCCCCTTAACATTCTTGATCTGAAAAGCAACACAAAACAGCAGCGTCAATAAATAATAAAAAGAAAAAAAGCTTGCGAGTGCAGATTTAGACAGCAGAATACTTGCAATTAGACAGTCATGTACAACAAGGAGAACAAGGCCTCAAGATTAAGATAAATTGCAAGTAAAAAGTATAGTTTACGAACCAAACACATCCATGACTGCATTTTCTACTAGTCCAGTTATGGAGACCACAGGCCAGCTGCTCAGATCACTTTACAAAATTAAGGCTGAGTAAGGAAAGTGACTGAAAACAGAGCACAACTGCTTTACAGCACACCTCCAGAGCACTTCCAGTGCATCAGCGCAAGACAACCCCAGACATTTAGTGACATGGATAAACTCTGTGCTGATGTACAAAATCAGCACCACTGATACAAGCACAGGACCACTGGAAAATTGACAATTACTATGGTAAAACTTGCTGCTTTTCCCACAAAAGCCACACGGTTTAACTGCGCTGTTATGAGGAGGACCAGGAGGTCTCATTTTCAGAGATACACGATAGCAGCCCAGAGAACCCATTTTCTACGCACTCTCTCCCCCTGATCCTTGGCGTGGGTGGCCATGGTAACGTGGGGCTTGGTGAAGGCTTCTTCAGCTGCAAAGACGACAGAGAGAAAGAGTTATTAGGAAGGCCGAGGCAGGCAAAGAACTGCGCTGTTATGAGGAGGACCAGGAGGTCTCATTTTCAGAGATACACGATAGCAGCCCAGAGAACCCATTTTCTACGCACTCTCTCCCCCTGATCCTTGGCGTGGGTGGCCATGGTAACGTGGGGCTTGGTGAAGGCTTCTTCAGCTGCAAAGACGACAGAGAGAAAGAGTTATTAGGAAGGCCGAGGCAGGCAAAGAGCTGCTGTGCCAAAAGGCATAGGGCCGAGGCTGCCTCTTGGCGGCGCACGCGGGGCAGAGCCCGGCAAAGCGGCT